GTCATGTGAAATTGGTAGAAGTCACAGGCATTCTATTGCAACGCTGCTGATAAGAAGTATAGTACAGTGAAATAAAGCGCTTATCAGGAACTTCTTAGCGAATTATGCATAAATGGTCAACGCTGTATGAAACGGACCTGAAAATAATGTCATGGCAGTGTACATAACAAAAATCTCTAAGAAACTACATTTATATTTTTATCAGAATTATCACCTCCAGGTAATGCTTGCAGTCAGATTTTCGACAATAAAAGATGATGTTATAATCGTCCAGGTACACACAATTTTCTATATTGCTACTAAGTTTCGTGTAAGAGGTAACTTGATCTCCAGTATCAAACTTAATGATTGAGACGTGAAATATCTAAGAAGATGAAAGAAATTTCTTTTATTCCATTATAACATTAGAAAGTCTTAATGCTTAATTGAATCAAATTTCTAATCTCATAATCAGAACCGCTTTTGATAGCCATTTAATAAATACGACATTCTTTTCGTTATATAAACATTCGCTTCTGCTTTTCATAATGTCCGTTGTGAAAATAAGGTTTTGAGTCCACTTTCTTCTATTTCCGGGAGGCAATTCATACATCTACAGGTAGAATAATATCGGTGACAGTTATTAATAATTTTAGAAAATTTATGTTAATGTTCTATATTATTTGCTAATCAATATTACTCAACGACTGAAACAGCATCCTATCGCATATCTTTACAGTTAAGATAGTGTAAACTGAAGTATTTCTAGCTCTATCAATGATTCTAGCATATGAGGAAGATCTTTAGCTTGGTGCGCTAGATTCGATAACCCTTTTTGCCATAGATACATTTAAACGTTCATTCAACATAGTTTTCATATACAATATTAATGAATTCTTTATACTAGTGACTAAATTTTAACGCCTATACCATTCATTAAACTTGACAAATTTTCAGCATTTGAATCAATTTAAGAAAATGCAAATATTTATAAAACAAGGCTAGTTGCAAGCAATTCTGACAGAGCTAATGATAATACCGTAATGAAAGCATGCCAATGTACGGTAGAAGTAGGCAAACATAGCTCATTCCAACATTTATAGACTTCTTCAATCATTATACCGGGCATATCACAATGGAAATGATAGTCATACGATGCTTTTTCTTGATGAGATGCCTTTTTCGTACGAAGATCATAAATGTGTTCGATATTCAAGTCTGCACCAGTCATAATCTGAATAGTTATACGGAAATTCTGCAGTTAGAGCTGAAAAATTAAAATTTATATTGCAGTTTATAGACATCACCGATTTTTATTAATTCATACCGAAAGGGAAGAGTATCCTTCCTTATCAATTCGAAGCTTACTTATAATCGGTATATTATTAACGAAAGCGGAATCAGATTTAACTATGTGATACTTTTCGTCCATGTCCTCGTACATAATGGTATTTTGAGGTGATTCTACTTTTATAGTGTATAAATAAATGCCCTGTGTGGACCAGTTATAAGCAACTAGTGCAAAAGCTTCATGGATAAATTCCATAAAAACAATTTCTGAGCTGCACACTATGACTTGATTTCCTATCATTACTCCATCTTGAAATTGATAAATCTGAATAGGAAATCGGTTGTTATGATATTAATATTAATAGCATTAACATTTGTAATTATATGCCTCTATCGCCTAGTATTTTTTTGTATTGAAATAGCTTGCTGTAATAGAGGAGATACTACGTATGTAAATACCTGAATATTACTCATAATGCCAGATCTGACTAATGCGGCAATTAATTCGCCATCATTTGAAATCGCGACCCAAGCAACGAAGGCACCTTTACTAATCGCTTGAAATATTTCAGAAAATTCTTCTACAACCCTTAGGCTTTCACTATCATTAAAATTCGTAGGTAATACGCCAAGTGTAGATCCATAATTCATGACGATCATACTCTCGTCAATTGCCTTAACATCATCTAAGTTGCAAATATTTTCGGGCTGGCAAAATTTTGCTATGGCATTACAGGTGTTTGCATCGATTAGCTCTGGAACTTCAATGAGGGTATAATCATTAAGATTCTCAATCTCATGTGCCTAAAAAGAATTTTAATTTACATCTTTAGATTAAAAAAGGAACGGATAATAAGCAAGCAGAATAACATTCACCTATCTTCTAATTTAGGAGTTACCCAATGCTGTAAAAACTTATAAATGCATACTTTGGCATAAACATAATTCTTGTTTTCAAAATCTATGGAAGTGAGTACCTTGATTTCGCAAGTATCTATTTTTTCGATGTTCCATTCCCGTTCGCTGAAGGAGCTAGGATTATTTCTGTGCCACGATAATATCCGAGACCCTTTTGGAATAAACTCAAACCCCTGAATTTCGAGTGACTGTCCAATAGTTTGTTGCATGACGACTTCTTTATCGTCGATTATCCACGTCTAATGTAAAAGTTATCATTAAAAGTTATGATTATAATACTTGTTATATGTATTTACTATTCTTTCTATGTTGCTATGGTTCATGTAATGCTGTAAATAAGATGTTGTATCAACTTTAAGTATACAAATGTTTATCGTTCAGGCGAGTAATATTAATATCTGGACTTAATTATAATTAAGTCCAGATTACAGATAAGATACATAAACTGTTAATATATTACAGTAGTATAAATTGTAGGAGCGATGATACAAGTAAAATCAAAGCGAAGGTCAAGAAGATAGTATTACGGAGCTTAACGGCCGAGAAACCAAATTAGCTGTAGAAACTAATAGCAAAGTCACTTTATTTTGCTAAAATACAGTACTGTAACTGCTACTTCTCGTAAATAGCGTTAAGAACTCGAGTTCTTAAGGGTTAGGAATAGGCAGTAGTGTATTTCTAAACTTAGTATGATAATACCTCAAGATTTCTTTTATCTGAAGATAAGGTGACAATGAGACTGTTTTGATATGGTGAAAACTTTAGAATGTAGGCCTCCAAACCAATGTTAATCGAATCGTCGTTAGCAATGAAGTTTAGTTTTCGATGATCTTCAACATTTATTACTTCCCAAACGCAATTTAGACCTCTTTCGGAATGATTCTATTTAATAATTATTATAGCATTCAAGTTTCTAATTTACAATATGGCGCAAGCGTACCGCAAATACACAAGTCCTATCCATAATCTGATGCTATTTGGAGTAACAAGCTGATGGTGATTTATTTATTAAGACTTTACAATAGCTACTGTATATAATGCATCACTAGCCGTATAGTATTTATTGGCCTAATGCCCTTAAGACTTATACATACAGGTGATTAGACACAGCTACTTACATAATTTGGCACGTAGCAATATGCTAATTTGCTTCCACATGGGGATATATTTACATTAATAACTGAAACTTTTTCCAGTTGATAGCTGAAACAGTGTTTCGCATTATCCGACTCTGTCACCTTAAGTAGAAATTTAAAATTGGTATTGTTTATTCTCTACGACTGCAGTAGCTACGTTTAAGGGATTCTGAATTATACGCAGACCATTACTAACCAAAAGTGTAGGATATGTTGTATCATTTCCCTTAGAGGATGCTATTCTGAAGCGTTCTGAGTAAGAATTTGAACATTTAGGAACAGGATCTTCTTTACAATTTCCGGTTCTCAGGGATTTTTGCCACTTTTCCTGATGTTTGCTTTCCGTATAACTAGAAATTTATGCAAATATATACAATATCTGTTTTAGAGCTGCTGCCCATGTGTATATGTGACATATATTTCCGACGAAGCGAAAATTTTTAATACCTAACAATAGCGTAAAAGCTTCCCTGTGTGCGTCTTTTTTCAGCAATTTTAAAAGCTTCCTTATACAACCAAGATATTTTATTTGTTGTTACAAGTAAAAACTGAACAAAATCTACGGATTCGAACTGTAAGTAAGAGCTGTGTTCTTGCAGCAGTGTACAAGCATCTCCCAAATAGTCATTATATGACATCTAGAAAATACAATTTTGTTTAACCTAACGATACTTTAGGATTGTTGTGATAAATAGTGATATTAGTGCATAGGATGAAGTTGCAGCTATTTAATTAATTCAAGTAAAATAGCCAAGCTTCCTTGATTACTTAAAAGATTTAAGGAGTTGCAAAAGACTGGACTGTAACAGTTTTTACCTGGGCTCGCAAAAATTTTTGGCATCTTTCCAAATCGAACAGCAAGTTTGATACCGACTGAGAAGCTTTGAGACTTACATCCATCCATTCAACATCCATGGCTATCTTGTTAATGATTGTTATGCTATCAGCAGAAATAGCATGTTCAACAAGATTTTTACAGAAGTAACCGTCATCCTCAAAGTCAGACCAACTTAGACGGTACCGGAAATACGTTCTGGAAATGAGGTCACGATTTAATTCTTTATAATGCTCTTCATAGGAGAGCTGTGACACTTGGCTCGGCAATCGTAAATAGTCAACAATTAAATCATGCAAATTGCAGATTATCCTGTAATAAATATCATGGATAAAATTTAATTAAAAGCACAAGTCCAATTTAAACATTCTTTTAATGATCTTAAATGAACGGGTCTCTTTCGATAATCTAATTCGCAAGGGAGTGTATAAAATCTCAAACGTTGCAGCAATGCTAGCAATCTTATTATTCAAATTTGTTCTAACATTGTTTACAAACATGTGCTTGTATGTAACGCAGATTATGCTCACCTAAATTTATGTGCATTTATCCTGTCATGTCCAACTGTTAAGAGAGAACGATCTTGAAAATTATATAGGATTCTGGTTGCTGTATCTTTATCGAGTTCCCATAAGCTACTTATAATATCTATCGGTATCTTGCCTTTTCTAAAAACTCCTAACTTTCGAAACTGCTCTCTTTCTGTCTTAGAGAGTTGATCAATACTAGCTGCGAAAGTTTCCTGCAAATTTAACCGATAATGGGGAAGAACGTTTGCATCGTTTTGCTGAGCTCTCCTTAAGGCATTTCGCCATCCCTCCGCGGTTGCAATTCGTTGACCTCCTATTAAAGCTATTGCCAAAGGCAAACCCTTACAGTTTTCGATAAGCCTTGATATATCTTCATTCTCCATTATATCTTCAATGTTAAGGTGACTATGATACGAGTGTAAAATTTGCACTGCTTCACTATAGGTTAAGCTCTCCTGGAAATGAAATAATATTCATGTACTCTATCCGGCCGAATTATATTTTCCGCGAATATTGATTTTAGTCTACAACGTTAATTGTGTACTCATTGCGTTTAAATTCGTTACATTATTAAAATGTTATCCTTTACCGGTGCATTGACCACGTAGTTATGAAAAGATTTGATGAAATCCGTCCCAAGTCTTGAAATAACTATTGCTTTGGTAGAAAATTTAAGATACTGCAAATACTTCTCGTTCCAAAGATCGTCGAAGACAAAGAGAATCTCAGATTTACTCCCAAATTTTTCTATCAACAAGTATTAACTACCTTAGAATAAAATTGCCCTGCAAGCCAATATCGATTCTATCACAATACCTGATTGTTGAATATATGCTATTTTAAAAAACTTTACTAACGAGTATCAATTAAGTAAGTCTAAATATTATACTATGAGAAGTTGAAATTACCCTACAAATATAAAGTAGGGTTTCAGGTTGAAATTACAGTGCGAAATATTAAAAAAATTGATGCGAACTTCCTCCAAATAGCATAACTTGAGAAATGAAAATACCCTATAAGTGTAGTGTAGGTTTCCGGTTGGCAAAACAAATAATGATTAGAAAACTACATGTTATGCGACATCGCTCAAATTAATTCTTTAATTTATTATATCTGAAGGCTGCCAGCTTCAACAACATGGGATCATCTGAAAAGAACGATACAAAGTTGTGCTGTTCTTTTCAAGTGATTCGTAAAGTTTTATCGTCTTCATTGTCTCTTGCTACTAAGCTCCAGATCCTAGCACATTTTTATACGAACCCTACGGGTATATTTATTTGTTACAATTACCGTTTATTGCTCCACCTAAAAACTTGCACAGATCACTTAAAGTTTTCCCAATTTCATCAGAAACGGCGATGTCCAGATCACGCATAAGTTCATGCATTGTCTTTAGTAAACCGTCTTCGTTAATGTTGCCTGCAATCAAGGTCGGAAGACTTAACAAATTTGCTGTACACTTTAAAACACGTTCTCACGTCCTATTACGAAACTTAATATTTTAATTTTATTAGTTTAAAATATTCAAAACCTATTGTAATCCACCGAATAGGATGCCGAAAATTTTCAGGATGCATTTCAACGAATTTTTTCACTGCCTGACTCACTGCAAAAGTTTTACCACATCCACCAATTCCATGCACCAAAACATGGCCGCTGCACTTATGAACATTTTGTAACGCTTCCAGTAGATTTTTTTCAAATTCTTTCCTTACGACGGCATGTTCAGTTTTCGCCACATTAGGTACATGCTGCAGTATCTCTTGAATTCGATAGTAAAATTCGATTCGATTTTATTGATTTTATTAGCCAGATTTTGTTAATCAGAATTTCTTAGTTTAAATCTCGAATTTATATGGGCAAACTAAAACAAGGAATAGTAGGTACTGTACTACAGCAATAAATAAATAAAATACAGCTGAGAGGACTGGAAATGGACGTTCAGTTTGCTAAAAAGGCGTAATATACAGTACTAACAGCAACAATAGCCGCATTGTGATATTGTCGTCGCTAGAGAGTAGAGACCCTTTAATAGCTGCGTTCTCATGAGCGATGACAACGCAGCGACAGGAGTCTTGTGATCGCAGACAAATCCTTATTAATCCTTGTGACGTCACTCTCGGCGAAATATAAAATTTTGGCGACGGGAGACGAGTAACGTCGATAAAATTCAATATAAAGTCTTCCATTTAAAATCATCTATTCAAATTTTAAATACCTCTCCTAAGCAACCATTAGTCTTTATCGTAGATGACTGATTCGCGCTAACACTATTTCTAAATGTAGCAGCTGCTAGCTGTAAGGTTTTGCATTCTAAAGTTCGAGAAGATCCTCTTTACGTCGTTGTTTTCATGAGCTTAAAGGTCGACCGGTTTGGTCGTCAAGTGCAGTTCTTACAAATACAGCGAGCACACAAGCTATACCACATTCCATACTAGAACTGATTTGAATTTTTATGTGCTGTACAGTGTACTGTACAGTATATAGTCACAGTAATATCGGAGATCAGGAATTGGTCTGCTGTTTCGAAACTTGACTATTTTGCTAAATAATGTCGAAAATAAAATATTGTAGTGTACTGTATTTTGTAGTAATGGCTGAGTTAGATTATGGATTAAACGTATGGATTCGTTTATTAGCGATACAAACAAAATTGCACCTTTCTGTAGAGATTCTATATCGTAGATTCTTATGTGCGTCGTGTACGCCCTTTACAAAGTCAATTGTCACCCCTGAAAGTATGTACTGTAAATCTTCCTAAATTACGCAATGCATAGATTTACACAGTAGATAGAGTATTTGATAGAAGATGATGTATTAAATTGAAGAGCTGCTTGAAATTATAGTGTATCAAGTGATTTACGCGTATCTTGCTTTATGGCTTTTCTCACTTGAATGAAAACATGACAAAACTTTTTAATTTACTATTTTAGATCGTATTTATCATCTTACCCACGAGATCGTATTCGGAATTAAACTTATTTTCTTGGTGACCAAAACTACGTAAGGTCCCCTTTTCAGAAATTTCTGCATCTGATTTTGAGCGAAAGACACTTGTAAATTCGTTAAAGTCAGATCGAAGTTTATCCATATTGCTTTCGACTTTCTTTAGGATTCCTATTGCATCATCAATCTTACTGAAACATCCTTTTTCCAATTTATTTACGATTTCCTCTACGCCTTCTTTTGTAATCATTTGATTTAATGTCGCCATGACACCATCTATTTCTCGATGTAAATCTTCCTTTTTGGGTAAATTTTCTACTTTGATCTTAAGATCTTTCAGAGTTTCAGCGGTAAAGTGTTCATCTTCATCGGTAAGAGTTTTCTTTAAAGCTGATGTAGCGTATTCTTTGAGAGACTCAAAATTATTTACTGCAGATAAATGGCTGCTGTAACTGAAATGTTCCCAGACCGCGGTATCAAATGGCACCACCTTGTAGCCTTTATCCCTTAACTTATCATCTGAAGGAAGTTGACCGTTCTCAATGAGTGGCTTCAACTCATAGTCAGAAATAAGCGAGGGTCGGCGATAACCCCATTGTTTTACGTAATGCTTTTGATCGGGAAAATATACACCTGTACCTTTTTCACCTACTGCTCCATCGATAAGGCCTAGCTGTGTAAGCAAATCTCCGCAGGCGATACTTTTATCTCTACTTTTATCAAATAACCTTTCAGATGAATGCTTTGAAATGCCATCGCGTACTCCAGATACACATATTCGGGCTAAATCCTCTAACTGATTGTAACTCATACTGTTTTTATCCACTATACTAACTACGGAGTTGTCATTTAGTAAATTTGACTTTGCCATGTGATTTAGAACCCGTTTTGCTGTTACCTTTGCTAGCAATCTTAGATTAATACTAGCTGTATCCTGGGTTGCTAACACTACCTGGTGCTCAAACATTCTACAAATATCGCAAGCCAGTAAAGCCACAAAAAGCGTAGTTGAGCTGTCGTCTAGAGGAAGAATGGAAATAATCTTTCTAGCCTTCTCTTTATTAAATTTTTTTCTTAATTTTCTGGCAGCAAATGTTGTAATTGTCAAGCCTAAATTTATTGGAACCGAAATTTCCGACCCAAGAAGAGAGGTCAATGGTTTAGCAAAATCTGAAATAAAATGTTGATATTGATCGAAATTTCCCCCAATTTCAGCTTCCATGTCTCCAGTGACTATACGATCGTACAGAATTAATTTTCGAATAAATTGCAAAATAAGAGAGGAAATAAATAAGTTTAATTGCCTAGTGATTCGATCTTCAGTATTTTGAGTAGCGTCGCGACTTCGAGCGGTTATACGCTTTCTTAGATTCAAGCACTTCAACATTTTTGGTATTATTTATCGTAAAATACGAATATGAATAGATCACTAGCGTAACAAGTCTTTGTAGTTAAAATGGATTTGCGATTAAATCTTGAATTATCGAATAAGTTTCTTGGGTATTAGTGAATATGAGATCTAATTTAAAAATAACTTCGGATAAAAATTGTAAAAAAATATCTAGTTAGGATTTTTTTCTTTCAACGATTAACTTCACTATGACTAATAAATAATATTCGCAACTTCTCGGTGGGTAGTATACGAATAACGCTAGAGAGGACTATCATTGTTTACCAAACGCTAAAATATTCGCCTTCTGTCCTTAAATCACAAATTTAGAAGGTTAACTACTTAACCAGGTGGTGTTCAGTTCTTGACGTGTGGTTGTAGCTGATCAAATTAATCCTAATATTTAACGTTGTTAACTCCCATCACTGGTATGCAGTGGAGTGTTTATTTAATTTTAATGGGCATCAGTCATAAGGAATCGTGCTGTGTTACTGTAAACTGAGATATCCTTACTCTGCCTTTTAATTATATGTATCCTGACTGTATGGCTGACAAGGATTACTAGAACTTTTTAACGCAATAGTTCTATTATTCCATGTAACTGACTTACCAACGTACTGTATGTCGTCGGAAATTAAAATTATGTATATACAGTATAATAAATATTCGATCATAAATATCCGACGCACAAATAAATAATGAATAAAGTAAACACAGGTAATTGGTTGGTGTTATATTTTAATATGAGCTTAATTTTTCCGCACTATGATCATGCATTACTTCTGTGATAGTTCGAAGACATAACAGTAATATCGACGATGGTAAAAAATTAAATCTAGATGTATTTTTAAAGGAAATCTTTAATATTACTTTTGCCAACGCTATATTAAAAATGTAATGATATCTTGATAGACATAGAACGTATAATCAAAGATTGCAGTATTTAGCTAGTGGAGCAATAATCGCATGCTATGGTTGTATTATTAATTATTAACTATTTGCAGTACTTGCTAGTTTCCTATTATACATATCACATTCAACCTTACTCTAACAACAGGTTTATATATACGTTAGTGCTACATAATAACCACTTCTTCATGGATAATAATAGCTGCTATTTCGATGCAGATTACCGTAGATGATAGTTATAAAAAGAAAGGTCGCTTGATAAATTTAAGTATTCACAATAAGAAGGCTTGCAATTGACCTTTAAACGTGGTACTGTCCGCAACATCCAAACCTCATTCATTACGGTATTGTCAATTCCTTTATCTATACGAGTAACTTAAATATTAAGAATTTACGATCAGAATTATGATCGTTCAGGTTTGAAATCCAAAGCTGTACCACAATAGCCTTCGCGTTGCTGTCAATAATATCGATATAAAATTGTTTCAAAAGTACATTATAATTCGAATTGCAATTAACAGTAGCATTGTACTATCATGAAGGCCACACAGTATTCTAGTGTGGCATATGCTAGTTATTTCAGAGATTCTAATCTAAACTCATTCATGTTAGTATAATTATAATTACGGTTATTTTCTGAAGATGGCATATCTATCAAATCATATTTAATTCTAAAACACAATACGAGTGTACCGTATTGATCGTTCAGGAGGCATTCTTGGAACCAAAAAGCGTACATTTGCTTTGATTTAATGATTTATTAGTCAATAAATCAGAAAGTGAATATTAATAGCAATACTATTTTATTAAATATTCATCTGAATCTCCTAAGTTGTCTGTTTCAGTATTCAACCGCTACCAATGACTCCGAATATTGTATCGCTTTCATCTAATTGCATATTGATACATGATTTAATGTCGATAAGTCCATAACTGGTATGGGCTAAATCAATTAACTTGTGTCTTTAAACGTACAATATAGTATTACAGTGTCTTAGTAGATTCTTATTTCTTAAAATTATAAAAGCTGATATTTTAAAGAAACGAGTTCGTAGCGAACATACTCATAGATGAGCATAAATTAAGGGTAACCTACACGTATTTATGTGTAAATACACATGCACTATAAAATATAGTTTGCTATTATTTGAAGTAAACAGCTAGGAATGAATCAACTATCCATGGGTGTATAGCCTTCGAATCCCTTTGTTTATGACTCAGTTACGCTATAGCACCAGTGCAGTTGTTTAATAGGCATTAAATAACTTAGTAATATTCTGATTTTCAAATTGTGGAGAATATGTGACATACTACGAATGATACTTTTAATTAAGCATGTTAAGATACTGCAGGAAGTTATACGAGATTATATGTAGTGAGATCGAACCTTTATAATCATTGATCCAGTCAATTACAGGATATGAAACCAATTAAATCTGCGGGATATCATACTAAAATCTGTAAAATGCCTTTTATGGTCACAGCTGCAATTACATCGTCACTCAGATATTTGCATACGAATAAATAGAACGGAAAGCTGATTATGAAATCACTGAATAAAAAATTTTACTCACAAAATTATTCAGGTCAATTAGCTATAATACTTATGAGTTATTCTCTCACACAATCAGTACTTTAAGCCTCGAACCAACGATAATGACAACTGTTAGCAATTTTACGTATATAGTTAATGACCATTGCAATGAAAGACATTGCGGTTTATTATAATCTATTTATTGTAGTTGTTAAGGAATTCAACATTGCAATTCAATTTTCTTATCTCGAGCGCCAGAAAGAGGCGTTCGAGATAGCTGTACTTAAACATATATCTATACGATGCTGTAATAAACTGGATTAAAATTTAGGGTAAACTGTACGTAGAAGATGCACTACTTCTATTTTCAGTTGTAATCAAGACCTACTAATTGTATTCTTATTGGTGCCCACCTATTAATAGTCCTTTTAATGGAAGACTATGCTATTGAATTACTGGTAACTCTTTCCAGAATACTATAAGATGGATAAAAATCTCTGCAAATAAGTATACTTTGATCGTTATTACTTTTAATCTGCGAATTTGTATTTAGTTGTGGTGACTGAAAAACTTGCACAATATCCATTGTATCTGTTCTGTGAACATAAATTTTGCCATTATTTACGTAAATAAAGTAATCGGAACCCCATAAATTATCGACAAAGCATAGATTTATGCGGAAATATCGAATAAAATTTAGGCTGCCTTTGACATATAGAACTTCCTCGTGGCTATAAATCTATAATGATTATAAATAGAGTATGAATTAGGATAAAATGATAGTAGTAAGATACGATACTAGACGACATACCACAAAATTCTCCCCTTTTTTCGTAAAGAAAAGTATGCCATTGCCAATCTTGCTTGCTTCACAATTCTATATATTAATCAACAATAGTACATATTTTATAGCATCACAACATTACCGAAGGTAACAAAAACTATGGCATTAAAGTTAGCTCTTCGATGTTAAAACATTGTTAGATTTGATTTCTTTAATGTGGAAAAGATACGCTTAATCTTTTAGTAGTTATGTTAGTATTGATATACAGCAATTAAAATGATTCACAGTCAATTTAATTCAATCCCCTATATAATATTTTCAGTTACCATAAACAGATTCCATTCCTTCTCGAATTTTATGGATGGTTTATTGGTGCCATTTATTTCAATTAAATCGGAGAAAGAGACTCGTGGTCTCTTGGTGGTTAATATTGATATGTAGCTTGAATCTTTACGATAATTTGACCATTTACTGTGATTCATAATAATTTCTCCATTGTAAAAGAAATATTGCTAAGCAAAAAATGGAGATATACAATCACGAGATTTATATCGTTTGTTTCATGCCACGACGTTACATAAAAAATCTATTTTTATTACGACTGTTGAATATCAGATAATACTGCAATCAAGCTTTCAATTTACGCTCGATACTTCAGACGGAATATGTAAGGTACAATGGAAATATCGCGTATATTATACTTGCAAGGTGAATAATGAAATGTGTTTGGAACCATTAACTGTATTTTTCGACTTGGGCGTTAATAAAATACATTAAACCCGGTTTTATAGTCTAAAGATAGCTGTACTGTAAAATATAGGTCACTACATAAACATACTGTATACCTTAATATAATGTTTCTGGTCAGATTGTCGACAATAAAAGATCAAGTTATTGTCATCGAGGTAAACACGAGTTTCAATATGATTGTCATCGCTCGTAAGAGAAGTTAATAAGTCTCCAGTTTCGAAATGAAATATGGAAATGTATAGAATCTAGTAATAGGTAATTAATTAATATATATTCCGTACATGCCAATTGTTTGAGTTATGAAGCATAAAGGCCTAGCGATACTATACCTTTCTTGGTATCCACTTCGCAAAAACCAGATTGTCTTCGGATTTTTGAAACAGAAATTCAGTACGGCACTTGGTAACATCCAAAGTAAAAACGAGGTTCTGTGTCCATTTTTTAATATTGATGGATGGGAAACTACGCATCTGGCAATTTGTAAGCAATGATAATAAATAATAAATGAAGACATAAGTAGTTTGCAATAAAATGAAATTACTCCTTCATTGATTAGTATAGCTTTTATGACTTATTTAATTAAAGGTGAGAGCAAATTAAACTCATTTATTGTCAAAATTGATCGAATAAAATATTTTGGATCAGAACAACCTTATGCAATAAAACGGTGTTCTAGTTATCGCTACCAAAAGAATTTCCGTTAAATCACCGAAATTATATAAATAACTATAGAAAATTTCCATAAATAGCTTCATTTTGATTAGGATATCACAATTGAGCATATTCTGCGCGGAGTTGTTATGTCAATATACCGTTAAATATGTGTGCCAGTGGCTATTTGATAATGATGTACAATTTTCTTCTGTACATTTGTAAATTTCCTCAATAAGAACTGCTGACATTTCGTTGTGGAAATACTGCTTATAAGAAGTTCCCAAATTTGATATACTTTTTCTTCTAAGTTTACAAGAATATTTATCCATTCCCCGATTAATCTTCATCTAAAACGTTATTAAGGATGATTTTAATATCATTTGTGTGAATCTATGCATATTTCCAGTGATTTTTTAAATGTTCAAATATATACCTCAAGGAGGGTATTTCCTTGCAGATCAGTTTTCACCTTACTTATAACTGGTACACCATTAACAAATGCAAAATCAGCTTCGATAACTCTGTAATCCACCTTTCTACTGTCGTAAACTTTTTTTGATGGGCATAATTCTGCATTATTAAGGTGAAAAAAATACACTACTTGTGCCATTTCGTTGTATGCAGTTAATGTGCCACTGTTAAGAAATTCTATATAAGCTGTTCCTGTATTACACTTTATCCAATTTTTTCTGGTTATTGTTCTTCCTTGAAACTGAAATACCTAAAATAATTATAGAATTCTAATATTACTAGAGTTAAAATAACTCATTACAAAGAGTGCAGGAGTATCCATATCTTCAGGTGAAAGTTTACGATTTAGTTTAGATCACAACATCCTTACCAAGATATCATTCACCAATCCTGAATTAACCAGAGCAGCAGCAAGCCGTTCAGTATCCGAGATAGCTACGCTATTAATGAAAGAACCTCCAAATATCTTCTGGAAAACTTCAGAAAACCCTTCAACGAGGTTAAGTGATTTTTTTTTTCCAAAATTTAAATGCAAAATTCCCAATATAAATCCATAATTTAAAAATATTATGCTATCAGAAGCCGCCTTAACACTTTCTAAATTGCAAATAGTTCCAGTTATTGAACTATCAGGAATGGCTTTACAGCCATTTAAATCTATGAATTCTGGAACTTCAAGGATTGAGTAGTCTAGGAGATTTTCAACTTCTAGAATCTGTGCAAAATTTATTAAATAAATTCTTATGTTTAAGAATAACTACCATACTGCATCCGTTAGAATAAATATTTTAACTTCGCTTAGTTACTATCGGCTTTTTCAACTTTAAACTCATGAGTTAAAAATTTCAGAATATCATTAATACTGTGAATGGTAGCTTATTAAACCTTGATTTGGCAAGTACTTATGTGTTCGGAGATAAACTTTCGATCACCGAAGGATTCAGGATTTTTTCTATACCATAATAGTAACTTTGAGGAATTTGAAATGAATTCGACTCCCTGTATCTTGAAAGGTTGCTTTAAGGAAGATTCTTGCACGATCACTTTATCGTCATCTATTATCCATAACTAATCGTAAATTGTAATTTTTCAGTCGCCAAAATAAAATGAGTCAGCTCAAGGAGGTAAATTTAATATGTTACTTTAAATAAAAATTGGACATTTTTGATGGGTTATACTGCAGGGTCATTGGAAATCAAATTTATATTGAGTAATATTGATTAGAGTTCGTTATTCAAATCGCATGTTAATGGGCTGATTAATCAATTTACCAGTAGTTTCGATTAAGATGAATTTAATAATTAATTGCTATACTGTACTGTCGTAATGGTAATGCTAATATAAAATCTCTGCAATTATTTTATAATGCCAAACATTTGCCGGAAATGTTTACCTCAAGCTTTCTTTTATTAGAAGATATTGTAACCAACAAATGGCTTTGACACGTAGAAAACTTCAGATTGTCAGCTTCTAAAATGCAGCTCATGGCATGATCATTTATGATAAAATTTAATTTAATATGGTCTTTAACATTCCACATTTCCCAGTTTCTGCTTCCTGTGTCTTCTGGTTGAGTCTAGCTGATTGATATTGATATTAGTAACGTTATATTTTTTGTTAGCTAAATATTTTATTCTTTAATATAATTGATGCCTTTAAAATGTAATTTGCTACATCAAAAATTTATAGTTTGAAATTTTTAGTATTTCAAAACGTACGTTAATAGACAGGAAACAATAAGCTAAATAATTCCCATTTTGTGAAATTCTAACGCTCACGACTCGAACATTCTCTAAGTGATGCGTGAAACGAGTCTCAGCTTTGCCAGACTCCTTTACCTTAAGACCATTAAATCATCAACGAAAGAGATTATCGGCTAATTTTTAAAAGATTGAGATTTTACCTAGAGTAATGTACTTACTAAAACTGTGGGATTCATGGAGTCATTTTCTTTGCAAGAAGCAACCATCAGGGTATCAGAAGAGAGATTTAAACATTTTGGAACTGGATCATATGTGCAGGTCCCTGTACGTAGCGACTGTATCCATTCGCTATAATAGCTATTTTCTGTGTGACTGAGTGTGTACATAGAGGAAACAAGATATATATGATCCTTATCGAAATTTCAATAAGAAATTTATAAAAAGAGTACTTTTATATATCAACCTGATAATAGTATAGAAATAGTCCCTTTTATTACTTCTTTTCTTGGCGATGTTTAGTGCTTCACCGTATAGCCAGCTCGTTGAACTACTAGCTGATAGCAAGAACTGTATGAAATCGAGAGCTTCTAAATGAATATAAGAGCAATGCCGCTGGAGATGCGAACAAATATCTTTCAAACCGCTAATATCTGATTTCTAGATACCATGAAAAAGTTATGTAATCAGACATATGGATTTGGACTATGTCACAATGAGAATCTACTTCTTATGGAAGACTTTATTAATTCTGTGACTTATGTTATAGCTGTAGATTTTGGTATAGGACTATACTACGATGTAATAGTTGTTTACATTTTCTTTTAAGACATTGAAGGTCGTATCGGAAATACAAATCTATATTATTGCTGTAATTTTTTTATTTGGTTACAATATACTGTAATGCAAATAGTTACTTACTTTTTCTTTTAAAACTCTTTGACACGACTGTAGCTGCAATATGAGATTAGATACCGATTGAGAAGCCCTGAGATTGATATCAATCCACTCTATATCTGTAGCGATACGTTGGATTGTTTCTGCATCGTCAGTGTAAATAGCGTGTTCCACAAGATTCTTACAAAAGTAGCCATCATCTTCAAAGTCTTGCCAGTTTACACGGTATTTAAAATAGGTTTTGGCGATAAGATCTCTATTTAAGTCTCTCCAAAAGTCTGCTTTGGAATCGATCATAGACGATTCAGAGGAAGTCCGCAAATAGTCAATCAGT